TGCAGAACTGAAAGTCTTGCAAACTCAGGCTCTCTCAGACGAACTTCAAGGCTCCTCCGTAACCAAGCAACGCCCATTCACCACGAGGGCTCTCCCAAAAAGACGTCATCCAAATGACAGATCGGCAACCAATCAGAGGCTGCGGGATTCCCTGGGACGAGCCAACGAGGAAAACCCCTCTCAGCTCTCAACTCAAACGCAAGTAAAACAAGGTATCCTTACTATCTGGAAAACTGGTGCCGAGATAATTTTAAGCAGTAAACATAAGCCAAGTCTCTGCTTATAAGCTACAAGCTAGGTAGCAAAATCTGGGCAAAGTTTAACTTTATAAAGAATTATTGTCTTGTGTTGTGTATTTAAAGTTAAACTTTGCCCAGATTTTGCTACCTAGCTCGTAGCTTATAAATTATCACTAGCATGTATTAACCTGTGGCCAGGGATAATACAAATATCCAAATTGTTAAGATATACTGATGTTAACGTCTCACTGGACGAACAGTTGATAAAGTGTAAACTATCAAATTTGGAATCAGTTCAATCAGGTGGATTTTGAATCTTCAGATTCGATTCCCCTCTCAAAAGAGTTACATTTCATTACAGTAGCTATTGACTGTAAATTAGAAAGTTGCCTTCAAGTTTTCTGACTGTGTTCCAGGGGGCGCTGTAGAGCCCTTGTGCCACGCCCGGGTCCCAGCCTCTGCGGCATCCTAATGACCGCATATTCCAATGTGTGTGTGCCAATTTTCAAGAGTTTTTGAGCACGTTAAGGCCCCCCAAAAAAAGTTTTGATAGTAGAAAAAAATAAAATAATAATAATAATAACGAGTTGTTCCCCTGTCCGAGGGGAACGAAGGGCCCTCGCACATATTCGAATCCATAGCCAGGGCAAAGAACACAACAGGATAAAAGGGGAGTATCGGTATATGTGATTTTGAGGAACAATGTAGGGACATTTGATGGGAATTAAAATGTAATTGTACGCTAGATTATACTTGTGTAAAAACAACACATAGCACTATTTATTTCTTATGTTGGTTCAAGTCAAGCTATAGTTTGTCATAAGAGAAAGCAAACCATTCTGGTGAAAAAAGTGGAAGCTGTGATCATTTATGTCATACATGTCCGCTGACTCTTTGTTAATTAAGAATAAGCCTGAATGGGTGTTTAAATTGTTATCTTGTAATGATTAATCGTGCCGCTCTTGTTTGCCATACATTTTAACTTTTTGCTGTTTGGATAAACATAAATAGATTTTTTCAAACACTGTTGTAAATGCGATACTTTCTTCTTCCAGTTGGTGGTGCTACTGTACACCCATGACCCATAATAGCTACATTAATGTGATCAGCCAAAAAGGCCAAACAATTCTGTGTTGTTTAATGTGAATCACACAATGAATGTAGAAGATATGAGACACTTCCTGTTTACCAGTCAAAAATATTTGACATCCTGTTGGGTGGAGGTGAATGTCTGTGGTGTGAAAGTTGTCCGACTTGATGAGATCTATATATGTGCAAAGCTTGGTGACCATAGCTGAAAAGGAATGCACTACAGATTTCCCTGAATATGCCCATATTCTAGGTGGCGCTATAGAGCTCACTGTGCACGCACATCTATGAACCTTTGCCAAGCCATAAAAAGAGATGACTCTGACGAGTGTGCAAAGGATCATGAAAATTAAAGCATGACAAGTACCTCAAAAGACATGATTAAACATGAAAAGGATAATAATGTTTAATGTGTTGTCATGGCAACAGTATTTTACTGTACTTTACTTTTCCAGTACTTAATAATTTTAAATCTGTAGTTTGTTGTTATTAGAAAAACATCTGAAGCAATTTAGAGAAAGAGGAAAAAGTTTGCTAAAATGTCTTACTTCCACCAGTTGGTGGTGCTACAGCCATGACCCACACTAGCCACATCAATGCGATCAGCCCACAAAGCTAATCATATGTGTCCAATTTGAAGTAAATCACATGATGCACACAAGATATAGGAAACTTCCTGCTTCATGTTTTGATGCTTCTTTACCACGTCGCCGTGGCAACACCGTTAGAGATATAAAAAAAAAAATCAGCAATTTAACATCTTCAATGTCTTGGCATGATTGTACCGAAATTTGGTGCCATTTACATGAATCCCCTAGGAGGGTTGTTTCGAAAACGACAGCATGCCATTTTCAAACAATCCAAAATAGCCGACTTCCTGTTGGGCAGAGCTAAAAAAGTTAATAGGGAATTTGTTTGTCATGATGATGGCAATGTCCCTATGAAATTTCGTGAATATCAGACAAAGTCAACCACAGTTCCCTGTCATTTTGCTTTATTTGATGTTTGATTCATGGGGGGTCCCTCTTACATCATACTATGGGGTTCCCTTAGGCATTTATGCACATGCTCACTCTTCTATAACGGCGCTTATTGAGGACACGCAAAAAATTTATTTATCCATAGAATGGAAGATATAGATTGTACTGCATCATGTTAGTTTGCTTATTGGATGCACACAAGATATAGGAAACTTCTTGCTTCATGTTTTGATGCTTCTTTACCACGTCGCCGTGGCAACACCGTTAGAGATATAAAAAAAAAAATCAGCAATTTAACATCTTCAATGTCTTGGCATGATTGTACCGAAATTTGGTGCCATTTACATGAATCCCCTAGGAGGGTTGTTTCGAAAACGACAGCATGCCATTTTCAAACAATCCAAAATAGCCGACTTCCTGTTGGGTGGAGCTAAAAAAGTTAATAGGGAATTTGTTTGTCATGATGATGGCAATGTCCCTATGAAATTTCGTGAATATCAGACAAAGTCAACCACAGTTCCCTGTCATTTTGCTTTATTTGATGTTTGATTCATGGGGGGTCCCTCTTACATCATACTATGGGGTTCCCTTAGGCATTTATGCACATGCTCACTCTTCTATAACGGCGCTTATTGAGGACACGCAAAAAATTTATTTATCCATAGAATGGAAGATATAGATTGTACTGCATCATGTTAGCTTGCTTATTGTGCCCAAGAGCATAATTTATATAAGCCCACATGTCTTACTAACAAAAAACTATGCTTCTAACCACAGGTCGAGAGCTGTAGTTCCAACAACTTAAGTTTACGCTGCTGTTTGCGAATGTTCCTTTGAACTATGGTTTTGGGAAACACCGACTCATTGAACAATGTTGGTAACGACGGAACTTGTGACCATAGTTGGCTAACGATGCTTTTGGGAAACGCACCACAGAGCTGGCCGTGGTGTTTAACTACAGAATGTTGTTTCTTGCACCACCTGGTGGATATTGTGTGAAGCACAACAGTGTTTTAGAAAAATCTGAAAAAGCGCCTGCAGGGAACTCCGTGATCACGTGTGGCGAATTGCAGGCTGTCACGTGAAAAAATACGCATTCTTAAAGGCCACATCTGTAATCATCCACGCAAAACAAGGCTTGAGATGCGCGAACATGTAAACGCTCACATCACCTCTGTAAACAAAGAAAGATTCATCAAGTTCATTACAGCTACTGTTCGTTTTTGGAAGAAGACGCGCTGTGAGGAATAAGCCTTGAATTTACCTCAGAAGAAGAATGCAATGCGACAAAACTATAATGCCAGATATACTTTTCCCAAACTATAATGCCAGACTAAAATATGTGAAATCGAGTGCAGCATTTTGAAATATGATAGGCAACGTTTCATTGCATCTAAATGTTGTAGGACTCGTCTGCATTTTAGCTCACAATCTCCAGTGATTTTTTTAAATAATTATCTGTTATGTCTTATATGATGTTTGGTAACGATATATTAATTAAAGTTATTATTAGTGCTGTCAAACGATTAATCACGATTAATGGCATCCAAAATAAAAGTTTTTGTTTGCATAACATATGTGTGTGTTCTGTGTATATTTATTATGTATATATAAATACACACACATGCATGTTTATATTTCAGAAAAATGTTATTTTTATATATTAAATACATTTATGTATAATATAAATGATATGAATATAAATATAGACATGTAAATACATGTAAATATTTCTAAAATATATACTGTATGTGTGTATTTATATACATAATAAATATACACAGAGCACACATATATTATGGAAACAAAAACTTTAATTTTGGATGCACTTTTCCCAAACTATAATGCCAGACTAAAATATGTGAAATCGAGTGCAGCATTTTGAAATATGATAGGCAACGTTTCATTGCATCTAAATGTTGTAGGACTCGTCTGCATTTTAGCTCACAATCTCCAGTGATTTTTTTAAAGGGCATACTGATGCGCAAAACATGATTTTTACTTCATATTTTTTAACACTGCATTAGACATGTAAATACATGTAAATATTTCTAAAATATATACTGTATGTGTGTATTTATATACATAATAAATATACACAGAGCACACATATATTATGGAAACAAAAACTTTAATTTTGGATGCGATTAATCGCGATTGATCGTTTGACAGCACTAGTTATTATAAAGCATTATCCTAAATTACGAGTGACTTTGATGGAGAAAAAAGACTAAAATTACTAATACTAAAATTAAAAGTGTTCCACAGGAAGCACAGTAAAATATTAAATAACAAAAATAAATACATAAAATAAAAAAGCATTCCATGACACCATTAACATATCCATTTATTTATTTATGTAACCTCAAAATCCTCAAGTCAATACCTCAAAATAAACCCCTTCAGGGTAATACAAGATCCCTCCATGGTGTCTAATTTGCAATAATGACCTGCCAACTGCACATGATCCCTTAATGATATATATAATGAGTGACTACACTGAATACTTAACCTCCATTAGCTAATCTCCTGTTTACTTTGTAGAGCACACAGGAAAAAAAAAATGTGCGTAGCCAGAATAAGGGCTATTCTGATCAAAATACCTGGTTTGAGTGGCTCACTATTATTCTGGGTTGTAAGTACATTATATGAGTAAATGCAGCTGAATGCATGTATAATTAGCATATCTCACCAGCGTAGGGCAATTTTGATTGGTGTAGTGAGACAGGAGGTGAAAAGGTCAGCAGGGAGGTCAGGGTTCATGGGCAGGAGTTCATTGGCCTCACAGGCGGCCAGCTGAATGCAGTTCTTCATGGAGGGAGGCAGGGGCATCTGAGCCAGTGGGTGGTTAGGGTTTATTGCTGCCACCTAGTAAAAGATAATGAGAACCAGTGAACAACAGTAAAGCAGGTCTCCAAAGACTTGGGTATGAAATCTTAGAACATTGAATAATTTGCTGCGCAGATGTCAACATTCAGCACATTGTTTTTCCTTGCTGAAGACTTTCAGGTGAATATAACCAGTTGTCATACAGTCTGATGCAAGTTTAACATTCTTCACATTTAATCAGTAGTCACTTAAAGTTGATAAATATAGGGTATGGCTTTAATTTCAATTAGCAACATCTTGAGAGACAAGACAAATTTCTGGCAGAATTACTATTTTGTAATGTCTATTCTTACAGTGCTTTTTAAAATTAAATTACTCATATTATGGTAAATACTTGGCAGGGTTGTTGACTTGAGTTGCATGACTTAGTTTCAAATTCTTTTATTTTTATATATATATTTGCGCATTAAATTTTTTTTTAAATAAATGAAAACTTTGCTGAAAAACCTGTTGTACACAATCTACTACATGCCTTCTGTTGTATGATGGATAGTTTAGAATTTTTTTTTTAGCAAAGTAAAAGTATAATTACTAATTAAAATGAGTAGAATTCTGAAAACGATCGGCCTCCGTTAACCTTGTCTAACAGGTGCTCAAAATTCGTCGGTCAAAGGCGACCATGTTTTTTGAGATTCGCAAATGTCCTTGTAGACACTTGTGGCACTTTGGACCAAAACCGTGCACACCAATTTTCATGTTGACAGGACAGTTATAATAATTTTTATGTTTTTTTTTTCCCCTCTTATAGTGCCACCAAGTGGCCAAGCTCCGCGATTTTTGTCCTGTGACCTCAGATAGAGCTTTTATATAAGTGTTCTGAGTTTGGAAGATATTCTGTTCATAAGATATTCTGATATGAAAATATTCTGTTCAGGAGTTATAGGCATTTTACTAAAAGTGGCCATGCCCCTTTTGAACGTTTTAGCACCCCTTTGCGATGGTCAGTCGAAAGTTCAACTTTTTTTTAATAATTATTGATATTCACTCTCCAGAGTGTCTTTCTGCACTGGTTTGGTTCCGATTGGGCGAAAAACATGGGACTAGTTCGCAAAAGTAGGTTTTTCAAAAAATGCAAATACCCTAAAAATTAGAATCTGACTGTCTGGCGTGAGCCAAGCATTCCAACGACATAAGACACTTGAGCCTGCGACTGACAGTTTAGGAGTTATGAACGATTTCGTACTTTTAATCACTGTAGCGCCCCCGTCAGGCCGATTGGGGCGAGCCTTGGTCACGTTGTAGGCGGTGTGAGTACTACCATCCCTCCGACTTACAGTTTGGTCTACTCTGCACAATAATTTTTTTACATGGAGATCACTGATCCGTGACCATTCTAACAATCAGGGGGCCTGCAGGATTTCTTCTGAGGGTACGCGCAGAGTTTTTTTTTTGTGTGT